TTGCCTTCAAAGTTCAAATGGAACAGCGAAAATTCACAAGAGATAGGCCATATGTTATACTTTGTGCGTAGCTCTTAGCTTGATATCGTTTCCCAAAGGAAAACGATACCAATTACCAGGTCTCACCACGTGGAGGTGGCTACGCATCGAGGCCCGACATGCGCCCTAGTGGCGCAACCTGCTGGTGCTATCTGTATCAAAGGTACCCTAGTCTAACTTGAAGCGAATTAAGTTAAAATGACTCTACTGACACTTCATTATATTTCGTGCCTTACAAAAGGGGTTTCGGTTCGGTATACTGAAACCCTACTGTCGCAACGCTAAGATATTTTCAAGTTCCCATAAAAATAGGGAATGAAATATCAAACACGCGAGCTAATAGAAAATCGCGACGCGCCCGAACGAGATCGCGATTATTCGAAAGACCGACTAGCCTAGGCGATGTACTCCCGTGTACAAAGATAACTTCATACCTCGGCACACTCCCGATCGGGCCTAGCTCAATTCCAGTCACTGTCGCACTCGCCAAGACTTACACGTGGACCAAGGATAGTCCCTGAACCAATGAAACTTCTAGTGTCAACGCGAGGGCCCTGCTGGGCGGTTGCCGGCCAAGACAGACACTTCGCATCCCAGCCACACGGGGTAGAACTTAATCATCCCTGTGGTCTAACCGTAGATGGTACTAGTCCGTCAGCCAGCATGTGCCCGAGCCCCAGTCGCGTACGACTTAGGCAGCGGACCGCCCCGTCGAGGTCAGAAGACGCACTGATCCGAGGGGGTCACCCTGGAACCCGATGCATGACGAGATTGACAGTGACTGGAAATGAGTGTCGGAGACGAGTCGTGAGGATGACTTACGAAGCATGTACTTATCGAGTACACGAGAGCACGTCGCGTAGGCTAGTCGGTACTTACGAACGATCGCGATTATCGCGAGAACAATTATGTTCTATTTGCTAAACGAGGGGGATAAGAAAATGATAGAGAATTTATAAATTTCGCTCCAAATTAGGTAGCTTACCTTTGTACAGACAGCGCGCACATGATACTTAGTCTATGGATCTATCTTATGATTACTTAAAAGTAAACGCACGCATCGTTCATTGATGTGTCGCAAACAGAATCTTGAGAAACCTAAAAGCTAAAACAGAATATATTATTGTTAATATGTAGCTGAAAGGAAAGGGATTAGTACGAGGAAACCATCAAGGATAATAACCAAATGGAACGAGCAAGCCAACGACGAGACCTGAGCAACATAACTACGAGACAGAAACATTCCAACGGTGAGATATAAACATACCAACGAGGAAGCGCTCGAGTATTATACGAAATACTCGAACGCTCTAACGAAAACAAATCGAACGGAAGTCGTAAAATTTGTGAAAGGAAAGATTTAGCCAACGATGAGACATAAGTAAACCAACGACGAAGCATTCGAATATTATACGAAATACTCGAATGCTGAAACAAAGACACATAGAATGAAAAAAATAAAATCTGCAAGAAGAAATTATTGTTAAATTATTTAAGAGAGTGGACAATGGCCACTGAATAGCCATTGATCTAGCCAACGATGATATACAATACAAATAAACCAACGACGAAGCATTCGAATATTGTACGAAATACTCGAATGCACAAACAATGAAAACTAGAATGAAAGAAATAATATCTGAAAGAAGAAAGATAATTAAAACCTGAAAGAAAAAATAATTAGTACCTGAAAGAAGGAATTATTATTAAATTATTCAAGAGAGTAGACAATGGCCATTGAATAGCCATTGATCAAGCCAACGATGATATACAAATAAACCAACGACGAAGCATTCGAATATTGTACAAAATATTCGAATGCACAAACAATGAAATCTAGAATAAAAGAAATAGAATCTGAAAGAAGAAAGATAATTAAAAGCTGAAACAAAAAATAATTAGTACCTGAAAGAAAAATATTAACGCGGACCCTCCGAAGTCGAAGCGACAACTGGCTCGAGCCTTCACGCGGGCCCCTTATATAGCGGCGGCCGACCGAGGATCGGCGAAAATTTCCGAACTTTACCGATTCCTTTAAAAGTTACTTTTCCGCTGTAATAACTAATAATTTATTAACTTTTTTGACTTTTATCGTTAATATACTTTGCAAACTATTTGTTATCAACAATTTTAATTTATTATTAGCAATAAATTTAATGATTTATTAACTTTTTGTAAGTTATGGATACATTTTAACACGAATATGTCGCTTGTTTAAGTAGTAGCTAATAATTGATTAACTTTTTTACTTTTATCGTTAATATACGTTGCAAAATATTTGTTATTAACAATAAATGTAGGAATTTATTAACCCTTTGCTAATTATAGATACATTTTCACGCAAATACGTTATATATACTAGTAATAGGCTATAATTTAATAATTTTTCCACTTGTATTATACATTAACGGTGAGATCAATTTGTTATTAGAAATAAGTGTAATAATTTTTACGCTTTTGCAAATTATAGGTACATTTAAACACTAGTATGATATTGCTCAAGTAATACCCAATGAATTAATTCTCTTCTTGTATTATAATTTTACACTATGAACAATTTATTATTAATAACAAATTGGATTATTTATACATTTTTATGATCTATAACTGTATTTGAATGACATCATTGCCAAGAATTCCATCCACTTACCTCTCGCAGCCTCAAAAATCGTCAAATGTTTAACTGAAACATCGAAAGTTTACAAAAGATAGGAAATATCTTAAACTTTGTGCGTAGCTCTTAGCTTGTTATCCTTTTCCAGAAAATAATTTTTGGTAAACGATACCAAGCTAAAGACTACGCACAAAGTGTAAGATATTGCTTTTTATGTAATACTTCATTTTAGCCAAACGTCATATCCTTTTAGAAAAACTCGTGTTTTTCGGAAATTAAACGTGACAGAGCAATTTCGATTATGGATTCGTGTTCAGGAAAGTAAACTTAACATGGAATATTCAATGGATAGGAAGAATTAAAATTCACGTTGAATATTGTAATTGACTGAAGGTATTTTACCGAGTCTTGATAAATTTTACATAATTAAAATGAGGCATTTAATATTTTTAACACTGCACAAATCTAAATTATATATATACCATAGAGATACAAAGTAAACTTATCACCAAATGCATATGTGTAACATGATTTGGAGGCATTGAAGTTTCCTTACCACTTTAGTGTCATTTTCAACGTTACCGATTCAACATAAAATAAGATTGGAGTATTTACACTGCTTGAAATTATAACTACGTTTTAATAATCATAACAAAGATAGTACTTTAAGTAGTTTCGTAAATAGCTTTTTATTCTAAGGAAAAGTTAAGGAATATACATTTCTTACAGAATTTTTGGTTTTTGTTACATTCGATATTATTCAACAATGATAAACTTATGCCATAAAGTCTGCAGTCACTATGATACTCCATTAGGTTATGAAATTTTTCTACGTTATATATTATGATGATTTGTCCCGTATAGGTATAATAGATTCCACAATAGTTCTTTGCGAATATAGAATGTTTAACATGAATTACAGACGATAAATTTTGTGCACAAACTATATATCTAGAGAAAGAGACACGTTCCTCAAAAAGAAAAATAATTGTCATTCTGACATAAGTACTGGATTACCAATAAGGTTTCTACGACCCATATGTAAGATTATTGTGCAAAAACCTACGGGAACTCAAGGTGAAAGCTTGATTTAGATTCGTGGAGGAATCATTGTGGAATTTAATTATTTATAAGATAGACTAAAGGAGAAATATAGAACCCCATATTTTAGAATACGTTAGATTGCTAAATAATTCATTTGTAACTTTATAATTAAATATGCCTTTAATGTTAATCTCTACTGATATTGTAATTGTATTGAATGCTAACTCGATAATACTGGAATCAACATTCAATAATACGAGTACATTCAAAATCCTAGAACATCAAAAAATGCAATTAAATTAATAAATCTAATACATCAGATAACACATCTATTCCATACATTGTGATATAAGCCATTACAGATCTTCTTTAAAGAGTTTAATTACTTAAATACTAATCTTATAAAGACTAGAGTTTTCATTATGCTCAGTTTCAATCTACAAATTATATTATGTCTTAAAAATTTGATGATTCGACGTTACGAATTATACTCTCGTACGAGTAAAATTTTATTGTTTATCAACTAAAAATTAAGTTTATATTTTCTGCTGTAGCATAACTAATGTTATCAATTTTTGACATTTTTTTCATAAAACTTTTTAAATGTATTAATTTCACGAAGTTTTAACAAAAAGATATAGATATAACATTATTATTTTATATATTATTATCTTCAATCAGACAAGTAGAAAGAAGATTAAATTAAAGACTATTCAAATTGCATAAAAGTATAAATGACAGTGAATACATTAAAATTATAAAAAATATAACAATAAATGTAATTAACTACAATATATTAGTAAAAAATGACAATTTCTCCAGAAAATTGTTCAAATATTTTATTTTAGAAATAAGTAATTTGTATTCATACACTTGAGATTTTTTTAAAACAGAGATGTTCAAATTTTATTGTATAAATATGACTATTTTTATGTAAAAAATATATCATTCAGTACAATCAAATTTGGTAAAGTTTAAAGTTTTAGAATTAAACAAATAAGAAAACAATCTGTGTCAACATTTAAAATCTTTATGATTAAAATGAATAATAAACATTGAAGTTAAATATTAAAAATCATATAAATTTTATACTTTTATATACTGAATATAAAGATATAGATAAAGATATTAGTGAATGTCAGATCGTACCTTTCTATTTTGTAATCTTCTAATATACTTTGGAGCTGAAATAGAATTATATTTAAATTTATGTTAAATTTTTTAATTTTATTTTAAAATTAAGATAAAATAATTGTTTCTTTTCCATGCCCAAAGAAACAGGATCTTCTTTAAATACACTATCTTATTCTTTGTTATTGGAATATATTTTCTTTCTAGCATAAGGAGTCATAAGTAATGTTTCCTTATATGTTTCACAATCACTGTGCTCCTTTTCTGTAATAAGATTTATTTAGTAAAATATTAGATTTGAAGAAAATGAATTAGTTTACTTAAACTGAACAGAATCAGAAAATTTTATACTTCTAGTAGATCTTCTCATGCCACTAGTTTTGTTTGAAGATATATTATTATCAAAATTATCTATATCTGTCTTTTCATTATTTTTAATGTCACGCTTAAGAATAGTTCTAGTTTTTCTCTTTTCTAAAGGAGTTTTATTTTCTTTATGCTCCAATTCTTTTAGATTAATATCCAGTTTTCTGAAGGATCTCTTTTTAGTTATAGGAGTATCTGTTGAAGTAACAATTCTATTTCGCAGAACTTTTGTTGCTGAATTATGTTCCTCCATGTCTTCTTTGTTACTCGTATCAACATTTTTCTCTACCTTTTCTTTCAATATATTGTCATAATCATCTATTCTTGACAATACTACAGCTAAATCTAATTTTGTATTTCTTTCTTCATTAACTGATACTTTATTTAGAGCAATAGGATCATTAACATTCACTTCATTTGTTGATTTCATTCCATATACTATGTTATGTAATTTCTTTTGTTGTTTCAATGTACTTCCCTTAGGGGTTTGATTAGAATTGATGTAAGATATTGAATCATTTAACTGAACCTTGGGTATTTTACGCATTTTACTTATTTTCATTATTGTTAAGGGACTTTTTGTTTTATTTATTGTTTTAGATAATCGTACATTTCGCAGTAAACTTAATCTTTTACCATGTTCCATAGGTGCAACTTTCTTTTTGTTTGAATCAATAGATATAGATTTTGTTTTATATTTTACAATTTTACGACTTTCATTCTTTCCATATTTATTTCTTAGAACTCGGTTTAAATCACATATAAGTTCACTTGATTTAGTAGCTACAACTTTCTTTCTATCAGTGGTTTTCTTTTTAGTGATTGGCTTCATCCATTTTTCATGTAATTTATTTAATCTATTTGCTTCTCTATTTAAATTTTTCATGACAGTATCCTTTGTAGGAGTATCATCATTTAATGAACAATCAGGATTAAGACCACGTTTTAGTTCTTCTTTGCTAGCATTGTTTATTCCACGTCTAGAAACAATATAAGGTGAAAAAGAAGCTTGTTTACTTTGAGAATTTGACTGTACTATAGATATATTATAATTTGGAGAAGAACGTGTTTTTGTATTGGTTCTGTTTTGTGTTGATTTTATTGTTTGGTTTTGTATCGGTTTTGCTACTTTGTTGTCATTTTTATTATTAGTAGTACTATTACGTAAATTAAAGGCTCTTTTGCCATCAAATGATAACTTTGATAATCTACATTTTCTAGGACTGTCTTTCATAATATTAACATTAAATTCCTCATTACTTTTTCTATTCCTTGCCATTGACCTTTGTTTAATTAAAGGCATTACTGTAGCTGGTGACATACTGTACAATGGTACCCTGCCAAATAAAGGTACTTTTGGGAATTCTGTAGCAATTTTATTAATAAAAGATAGATCATTCCTATTTCGACTTGCTCGACTTGTTTTGGCTTCCTTAGTTATATTTTTTGAATTCTTATTTAAATCTTCTGAATTTACTTTCTTTGCAAATGTATTAATTAAATTCTTTTTTGTTGCTCTTGTAATTCTTTTCGACTGATGATTACATACTATATTCTTTGTATCTTTATTGAGTGGTGAATATATTTTGTGATGTACTAATCCAACAATAAAAGGTGGCTTTTTCTTAGCTTGTTCAAACTTTTTAACTTTTTCACGTTCAGCTTTCCATTTTACTAACCTACTCATTCGATCTTCTTTTACAGAACTTGATTTCACTTCTAGAATTAAATTATGAACAAGTTATAAACAACAATCACAACATAATCATTCATTAAACATAAACAGATTCGTATACAAACTTTTTTCTTGTGTTTTAAAAAAGGACTCTGGTAGTTTTCTGTTCGAATTAAAATTGCTAGTTCTTTGTCTTTTACGCGATTCTTCGTTTCTTCTTGCTCGAATAAACCGACCCTCATCTATATTTCCAAAGCCAAATGGTCTTTTTTTATAATCATGCCGAAAATTATACATTATTGACCGAATCTGTAGTGATTAAACCTTAACTTTCTTTTAACCGCTTCACGATAAAATTCAAAGGAAAATGTTTGGAAATGTAATATATGTATATTTGTATTATCAATCACGAATAAAATGTAGAACTACGAGTATAAGCAAAATACAACACGCAAGTATATTCAAGCTATACGATATGAAGTACCAGTCTAGAGAAATCAATACTTCCTCTTGCGCCACCTATAATGACTCATGCAATATAAAATGAATTTATTGTTTTATAGACTTTTGCATCTTATGTTCAGACATATCAACCATAAATTTTTAATTTTTAAATATTAATATCTTGAGATAACATATTACATTATATTTTGCATTTACACATTACACATTACATTATGTTTACATTTATATTTTGCAATTACAATTCTATATGAACCCTAGTTTATAAAATCCTAACTCTGGTTTCTATCGTGATTATTTTTCTTTGATTACTATTGATATTGGGCATTACAGTACGTAGGTATTTAAGGTGACTCAGTCAGACCATATGGCCCCCTAAGTTAATTTTAATCCTATTAGGCACGACGCATCTGGCTACATCGTTTCATTGGCTCAGTAGTTCTCTAATTTACCATCTATCGTTTATAAGGGATTTGAAAATCGACTGTGATTGAAGAAGAGCACGAACTTATTGATCGAAGATAAATGATACTGAAATGGTAAGAATATTTCAAGATAATCAAACTGTAAAATAAATATGTACTCTGAATTATAAGTTCATCTTAACCGGTTTGCTAGTTAAAGGATTTAGCCTATCGTTTACAAATTTGTGGAGTACAAAACTTCTTGTTGTCCTTTACTTTTTATCTACCGTCATCAAGTTGGACATAGTTCCTATGTTTATTACAGATGTCAGTAGAGTACATTTCTTATTCCTTATTTTTCAAATTATTATTTCAGAGCATGGAATATGAAGTTCTGTAAGTTTTAAAATATATTCCATTCTATAGTTGTGTTATTTCTTGAATTTTTTTGTGAAATAATGGTATATAATAAATGTAGGAATCTTCTATATCAATTGGGATATGCAGGAAAAGACAATATTTATCGACAAACGTACTAGTTACTAGCAGTTGGTGTGTACCAATGAGTACCAATATTTTTCAATTAATTTTACAGTTTTATTTATAATCAAACTTACTGCTTTAAAGACGAGAATGAAACGCATACAAACATCTTCAAACCTTTACCAACATTCATTAAACTCCACAAATATCCCTGACAATTACCAATTTCTTCCTAACAGCTTTAAACTTCTACCAACGTTCACCAAACTTTATAAATACTTTACTTCTTTACAAATTCGTTGAAAGCAAAGGTCAAACACTTACGAATATTTTCAAACATTTATTAATATTTTCTACAATAATTATTTACAGTCATTTCCAAAGAATTCCGATATTCTGCAACCCTTTTCAGAGCTTTAAAATTGAACTCGCAGAACAAACAGCTACAAACATCTTCAAACATTTATCAATATTTTCTAAAATAATTATTTACAATCATTTCCAAAGGATCCAAATGTCCTACAATCTGTTTTAGAGCTTTAAAATTGAACTCGTAGGACAAACAGCTATCAACATCTTCAAACATACATCAATATTTTGTAAAATAATTATTTACAATCATTTCCAAAGGATCCAAATGTCCTACAATCTGTTTTAGAGCTTTAAAATTGAACTCGTAGGACAAACAGCTACCAACATCTTCAAACATACATCAATATTTTCTAAAATAATTATTTACAATCATTTCCAAAGGATCCAAATGTCCTACAATCTGTTTTAGAGCTTTAAAATTGAACTCGTAGGACAAACAGCTACCAACATCTTCAAGCATTTATCAATATTTTCTAAAATAATTATTTGCAGACATTTTCGAAGAATTCCAATATTCTACAACCTGTTTTAGAGTATTAAAATTGAGCTCACAGAACAAACACCTACCAACATCTTCAAACTCTCACCAACATCCACCAAACTCCATGATCATCCTCAAAAATTACCAATTTCTCTCAAACAACTGCAACTCTCTTCAACCAGATTCAAGGAACTTGTACCACAAACATCCACAAACATCTCCAAACTTGTCCATGAGCGGACGCTCCATAAAATTCCAACCGTCTTAGAAAGACTATCACGTCTCCTCTCCCTACACCTCTTGTACTCTTTCATCCAGTTCCACGGAGGCCTCCCAACAAACGCTTACAAACCTCTTCAAATCATCTTTTGTCCTCGCGAAATGGCGCGAATTTTCCCTCTTTAGGGACAGAACTGGGTCCAGAACTGCCTACGATTTCGATCACCATCCACGCGTGGCGAACGGGAATGCGTCGAAACGAGGCCCTGCAAACGCAGCTCGGTTTTACGAGCGGCCAGCTTTATAGCGCGCGAGGCGACTAAAAATCGACAAACAATCTATTCTCTCCGTCGGCACGTCGTTCCACGCGGCTGTGATAAGTCCTGCATCGTCTAAGAACTCTCTCTCTCTTTCTCTCTCTTTCTCTGTATGGTCGCGCGGCGGTGAGTTCCTGTGAAAATTTCGGCGTCGCTCAAAAGCTGAAGTCAAACATGGGCGTGTTTCACGAGGTGTCTCGGTAAATCCGGTAAAGCGACGAAGGCAAATCCCTCTTCTGTCAGCGGCGCGCGACGGGCTAAATGCACGGCAATATACACTACCGTCTGCACGCCGAGGGTTTTATGGTCCGCGGCGGAAATTGAACGGCTTGTCCCCCGAAACGCAGTAAACCGGGTTCAAACGGGGTTGGAGATTACGCGGTGTACGACCACTCGATCGGCCGATGAATGTGTACCTTTGTTCTTAACCCCTTCGAGAGGTTAGGGGTGAGGGTGGGTTTTATTGCGGCCGTGTTCCGAACTTCAGATGTGAGAATTTTCTAAGCCTTGGTTGTTAGATAACTTTTTGACGGATTAATCCTTTAGGAGCGGCGAGTGTACTGAATGGACCGTGTAACGCCGCCATTTTGTTTGCCGATAATTATTTAGTTTGGTTTTTAGCGGAAAAACGATGAAAAATTGTTCCATTGTACAGTCGATGTTTGTTAAATTAACTGTGTTGCTGAGGACGGGAAAAATCAACTTATTGTTACTGAAAATGGAAACAATTGTTAGGTTAGGTGGTTTATTATAAGGATACGATGTTTGTTAAATTAACTGTGTTACTTAAGACAGGGAAGATCAACTTGTTATTAGTGAAAATAAAAGTAATAGTTAGGTTAGGACAGGTTAGGTGTTGCTGAAAATAAAGAAAATCAATTTAGTGAAAATGAAAGCAATTGTTAGGTTATGTCAGGTTTGGTGGTTTATCGGAAGGACTCAACTTTTGTTAAATTAACTATGTTACTGAAGAATAAAGCAACTTATTATTAGTGAAAATGAAAGCAATTGCTAGGTTAGGTGAGGTTAGGTTATTTAATTTGACAGCTCTTGGAATTAGAAACGAAATATTCTGGCATTTGCAGCGGATTTTCTCAGGGTGCTACTGGAACGTGATTTCCCTGAGAAGAAAATACAACTGTTCCTTAATGTTATAAATGAAAATAATCACTTTTCGTAAGAAAAATTGAGTTGAATTACTATCTGTAGTTCACAAATTATTTTCGTTAATATATATGTGTATAACACGTCGATGCCAAGATTGATATTACGTTGCTGAATCGAGCGACAAGATGTCCTCACTGGAGGAGCATGTGTTTCTACTGCTTTCTTATTTTTGTGAATGTATTTTGTACCTTTTCTATATTTTTAAAAAATACTTTCGTCGATTTAAACTAGATAACAAGTGACAGCATTTGACATAAATATGGTGGAATCTTAGGGCAACATTTGATGACAAGCCATCACTTCTTCAAGAAAACTAATTGCGTGCGATTTAAAACATGGTTTTGGTCCAGATTATACATTACAAGTAATTTTAATAATAATCATAGTAATTTTGGTAAAATTCGCAAGCTACTAGTTGGACCCACAGTTTAAATTGAGACCGATGAAATAAACTAGACCTCATAGTACATGTCGATATTTCGTATAAAAGTAATAAAACAATAAAATAAAAATTGCACGACCCCTATTTCCTAGTCACAACTTATCCCGATGCACGAACAACTAGCGCCACGATGCGATAAGTTGTCCCGCTCGAACTAGTTACAAGAAAATAAATCTTTCTCGATGATTTATTATAATAGATCAAATACGCGTTTGAAACTTCAAAGTATAATAAATTTAACAATAAAGTATCGAATAATAAAAAGGAATATTATATTATTTCCTATTATTTATTTAACTTTTTCTTTTTAAATTGAAATTTTCAATCTTTGTTTTCTCTAGTATTCACGATACATTTCATTATTTCATAAACGCAGTCGGTGTATGCAGGAGAAGCTCACGCGACGAGTTTCGTTATCACTGGAACTACCGACCTGTAATGTGTATCTAAGTATAGAATACATAGATAACAATAATTAAATGGGCATAATAAAACTAAATAGGCAGGTGTAATTAGGCTCCTATCTGGATAAATGTCAAACTTAATTTCATCAGAAATGGTTGCAAATTTCAGTAAACGTGAAAAATATCTTGATCAATTTAACAGTTCTACGCTTATGTTATGTTATGTCATGACAACGTATATATGTAAAAATAAATATTTTTATATAAAATTGAGGTTATAGGAGCATATTTTAAAAATATAGTTTTTATTCTAGATATTTTGCGCAAATTTTATGTCATAATTAATTTTCAGGTTATTTTCTGTCAATTCTGAATTAGGCTGATATTTTCTACTGCGTCTTACTAAACGTTATTTAATTATATAAAATTATACATCAATGTTTAATGTTAATTTATGTTCACTATTATGTTAATGTCGGATATTTAATAGCTCTAATTTAGATTTAATATCGTTAGCTTATAAATAACTAGAATTGAAGTGGTCCTTGCTAGGGAATTTCTCTGTAT